TCAATTCGAGAGGACGAACAACTCTCCAAATCTCCGGCAACACCAAGAGCCCAAGAACACAAACCCTAGATCCCAAATTACATTCAAATTCAAAATAATCCACCCTTTCCCTCCTAACCTCCTAATTAACCATAAAGGAGTTTTACAAATTGTCTAAACAGCCCCTCTCATTCCAAATTTCCCTCCCAAAATTCCTCCTTGGCCCCCCGTTGGTTCCGCCTGTGCCGCTCGGTTCCGTCCCGTGCAGTTCCACCTTTAATAGGTGAGGACCGGTCCGGGTTGGACCGGTCCAGCAGGCCCCTCCTGGGCCGGCCTAACAGAATACTGCAATACCTTAAGGGTAACCTAAGTAAAGGGATTCTCTTTAGAAGAGACTATGGAATAACCCTATAAGCAAATATTGATGCAGATTACATAGGATCACCAGTAGATAGACAATCTATCTCAGGATACAGCACATTTCTAGGAGGAAATCTGATTACATAAAGAAACAAGAAACCAAATGTGGTGGCAAGGACTAGTGCAGAAACAAAATACAGAGCTTTAGTCTTGGGGATATGAGCTACTAAGGATCAAGATAATTCTAGAAGACCAAAGGATCAAGTGGGAAGGACCCATCAAGATATACTATGACAACAAATAAGAAATTAGCATATCTCACAATCTGGTTCAACAGAACAGGACCAAGCACATAGAAGTGGACAAACATTTCATAAAGGAGAAACAAAACAATGATCTTATATGAATGAGCAGATACAAGGGGGGCCTATAGGGGCACGTGCCCTCCTCCGGAATATTACTCCCTCCTCTCCCTCCGCTTACTCCCTTCTCCTCGGCCTTTCATTGCCACTACTAAGAGCCTGATCAGCTTTGATGTGTACAATCCATTGGTCAGCTCCAGTGAGAGGTCCATTGGTCAGCTCCAGCGAGAGGTCTATTTTCGCTGCGCCTTTATTAAATGTCCTATCTGCTCATCCTTGTTCCCTTCAGAAGAATCTATTTTTAACCACTTGGACAGTTATATTGATCCTTCTACCAATGCCAGAACGGATGTTGCCTTCGCCAGTCGCCTTGGCAACTTCTTATTGAGGGAACCGGTTGAAGAAATCATAGAGATCATGGTTAAGTTGCTGAGAAATGTGGCTCGAGAATCGGGGAATGAGAAGTTCTTGAAAATCTAGATGAGGAATCAGAGTATTAAGGAATCAGGTAAGCGGTACGAGGGTTAGAGTTGTTCGAATGCATCGGGTTTAGGATCCAAAAGGAGGATGGTGAACAATGGGCGATGATGGTGAAGTCAATGCAAGAGATGATTGTTATGATCCAGGAGGTGTTTTCTTTGTTGGAGAGGTGGAAGGGAAAGGATGTTGTGGAAGCTCATAATGAGACTGAAAAATTTGATTCCGAATAAAAAGAGTGAGCAAAAGTCAAATTACTCCAAGGTAGTGCGCTTCTCTGCCTCTTTATTTTTAATATTTAATATCGAACTCAACTTGGGAGATTTTGGCATCTTCATCTGTGTTGTGCATTTTAATATTTGTTTGAATAGTATTTTATAGAATTTGTGTATTGAAATGACATATATAAAACAAAACTATATATCTTTTCAAATTATCACTTAAATGAATTATGCAACCAATATGTGACTTGCAAAAATGTAATATGATGTTTCTTGTCTAAAAAAAATTTGGGCCCCCTCTATAAAATGATTCTGGCTTCGCCACTGCTTATATGTATTTACCATGTCTCATCAAAAGATCTACTTGCAGATATTTTGACCAAGGGACTTGACTCTACCTTTTTAGGACTGATTACCAAGCTGAGAATGCAATTTTGTATTCCTCAACTTGAGGGATTGTGTTAAATCTCAATTGTCCCTTATCATTTTAATCCCATGGCTAGGATAGGGATCCATGGGAGGCTAACCTGGATTGCATTGACCTCTGTCTTCCCTTGGCATTTTGATCCCTCAGCTAAGATGGGGATCCGCGAGAGGCTCACTTGGATTGTGCCGATCTCCTTCCATATTTACGTGGTTGATTGCACCGATCTCCGTCGTCCCTTGGCATTTTGATCCCACAACAAAGATGAGAATCCGTGGGAGGCCCACCTGGATTACGCTGATTTCCTTCCATATTTAGGTGGTTGATTTAGGAAGAATAATATTAAGCAATTATATATGATTATGTAATTATATGTTTTTTTTATTAAGATATTTTATATAGATCTATAAATAGGAACAAATTTGAGCAATAAAATCAAGCCTTTTTCTTTCCCAATTATATGAATTTAACAGTGTTCTCTACCATATAATAGGTTCAGTTCAATACAGTGTTAGTTCTCTGGTTCTGTTTCTATTGATTGTGGATTCGGTGGTGGGCCCAAGTCCTCGTAGGCTGCTCATAAGAGCTGGCTTTGAAATCCAATGTTTAACCCATTACTTCCAAATAGCCTTTATTATAGGATTGTGGATGCCAGCTTAATTCAATTTTTTGTGTCGATGAAGGTCTTATGATCATAAAAAGGAAAACCTGTGGCACATAAAATTTATTTTCAAAAAACTTTATTGAGTATTTTATTTCTTCTATATACTTTTGTGTCAACTGAAAGTAAATTGTTTTAATGTGCTGTAAGTAGTAGGTATAAAATTTTGAGAGAAGTCAATTCTTTATACTGACATAATTCCTATAGATAATTAGCTCATTGATTTTTTTTCTTTAGTTTTTTATATGAATTAATTTTAATTATTGCAATACCCACATTAATAGATTCAATCAAAACTCGTACAATTTGGGTTTCTAATTGCAATGTGATCTTTGATTTTCGCGAGTTTTTATTTATTTCAATTTAATAATACAATTCTATTAAGATGAGCTTTAAATTATTGTTGGCACCGAACTTGCATGATTTTCATCAAAGGTGACATAATTATTTAAACTAAAGATCAATAAATTCTGAATTTCGATTTCATATGCATGATTTTAATAATCTGCAAATTGTGATTTGATATGCATGATTTTTGTACATAACTTCATATCATTGCATTAGGAAACCTTAGACCCTAAGATGACCAACATCACTTATAATGAAATAAAATCAGACAAATTTTTAGCTTCAAATCATATTACATTTTCTTTTTTATTCATAGTGATGATGTATAGAATCATGGGCAGGAAAGTGGATGAGGGATTTTTCATTGTAGAACCAAAAAAAAAAATTACTTGATCCATATCCAACAGACTTCATGAAGTAGACGTATTACCTTTATTGTTGATTCCAATGAATTCCAGTAATCAAGATTTTCATCAGGCATAGGAGTCGAATATATAGCACCCAATGAGGCCTACATTCGTTAAAAACATTGTCATTTGAGCTTAAGGAAAAAAAAAATCAAAAGATAATGGTAATAGTTTAATTGATGATCCCAAGTGATGCTCTAAACATAGTATTCCATATGCAAAGTTTATGATAAAATTGACTTTCATTACCACATGTGTTAACTCTTGAATGTAAATGGCACTCCATAAAACTGTTGGCTTGGATGCTCCCGTGTTTTCATTATTTGAGGAAATTCCATCAAAACTATCGGGGTCAGGTACAGTGAAAAGTGTTCTCATGGCAGCACGTTCTTTTCCCAGACTAGCATCATCACAGGGAGTTGAAATATAAACTAGAAACCTACAAAAGAGCAGTCATGAATTCTAAATTCAGGCTCTGACGCACCATATTTAGAGAGCATGCCCAAATTGGGCGACCTAGGCAAGTATGATTCTACTGCATAGAATTTATAAAAGCATTCTGGCACTGCATGCAGCTATAAAATAAAAGGTTAAATTTCTACAAAGTTGTAGCTTACATTCCAGAAGGACATATTGCCACACTGCTACACACTTGAAGAGCTCGTACAGTTGTTGACTGCTGAAAGAACAAAGCTGACAGAACATGTTTAAGACAAAACTTCTGAACTAATATTATGAATGAGAGTATGATGAAAGCACAAATAGCCACTAGTCAAGGAAAATACGTCCCAAAAAGAAAACATAAGCAGTGTAGAGAAGCGTGAATCTTACATCTAGGGGGGAAGAGCACGAGAATGTTAGATGAATCTTGCTGGATGGCCTTGTTTGCTATGATCACTCCTTTAGCAACCATACTAGCAGGTGTGAACCATCCAAAACTTTATCATCCAATAAAGATAAAGCTGATGACGAAATTGTAAACGATGGTTCCATAACAAGTTGATGGCTAAATATCTCCTGACCAGATGCTAATTTAACACCTTTATATTGATTGCTTACCTGCATCACCACAATGATAGCTTGCACAGTAAGCAGATATTAACAAAGGTTAACAGAATAACATTGGCGTGATTATAAAAGCCAACAATAGACAAACATGGTAGCCAATATCTGAGGAGAAAATATCCTTATTATCTTTTGATACAAATGCAGTTGTAAATATTATTTAATAAAATGTTAGACTGGTCCACTGGACCGGTCCATCCGGCCC